TCTATCTTTCCTTAAATAGTTGAAGGAGCTGCGTTTTGTTACGTAACCTGAAGAAAGCTTCTATCGATATTTCACCCCGTCACTAAGAGAGCTTTCTAGTGCTTTTCGCGCTGTCGACGGAGACAGCTTATCCTCGTAACATCAATGCATACACAATGTAGATTTGGTCACGTTTCCAATTGAGATCTCAATTCTTGTACTTCTGGACACGATCGTGAAATATTATCACTGCGCCACGTATAACCCAGAAACGGAGTTTATTTGGTTCATGTAAACGAGACAGTTACTGATATATTTGTTCTCATTATAAATTCAGTTGTATGTAATCCATATGTTCGAATGTCAGGTATTTTCTTTTTAAATCAGATTATATTTATTATTTAAGTTAAAACTTAGTAATAACATTTGGTGTGTAACATTGTTTTTTAATTATATTTTTTTGTATTGTGTAGTTTATATTGTTTTCAATTATTACAAAGTCTGGATATTTTATTTGCATATATATTTGAGTGTAACATTAAAATTAAATTATATTCATTTAGTATTTTAGTTAATTAATAACAAACTTTAATGAATAGAATATAAATTTATTACTAATGTGAATGAATTAAATAATTATATTCGTTACCAAATGGCTTTATGCCGTGGTCTTTGCGGCAGCTGCAAGCCAATTGACCATGCTCTGATATGCCTAAATAATTAGATAAAGTAATACAAGAAACGTCGAAAAGACAAGTTTAAGTTGCATCCGATTTTCTTTAAGACTTTCGATTTGATAATCTTATGAATCGGTGCTATTTATTATTCTGTTCCTACTAGTTATTAGAAAATCTAGCCTCGAGCAATCTAGATTAGCACTTTCTTTATCCGTCTCTGTAGGCCAATTTGTCAAGTACCAGTTTTAACCACCTTTATGAGAAAAGTAAATTCGCAAAAATCGTGAGCTTGTGGCAAAAATGACTACACTAAACATCACTATTATTTTCTTAAAACGTCGTTAAAAGTAGGCCGTAAAATTTGACAACGATTCTGTTTTGTCAATTTACGTAAATGACACTGACTCCTTTAATATAGGGTTCAATGAACCCTGAATCAATCTCTTTGTATGAACTTGGAAATTTAAATATTTGCTAGTATGAGTGATGGGTACGGCATACATGTAACAATATGATAACGAATGAGGGGAGCCCTTGTGAGAACTTTTGATAGATATTTTCTCTTATTAATGTCACAACACAAAATCTGATATTACAGATGGTAAAAAAAATATGACATAGGGTACATAACACCATGCCGTCAGCGTGGCGGGAAGGATTTTTTTAAAGAACAGCGGCAAACAAGCAGGAGGCTCATCTGATGTTAAGTGATACCACCACCCACGGAACCACCATGGAAACATTCAATAACGCGCTTGCGAGTGCGTTGCCGGCCTTTTAATTGGTACGCTGGATTGCCCTTACATAGGTCATTGCAATGCATGTGCTCTTTTTAATTTTATGATTGAATATAGTTTTTTACGTCGGTTTTTTCTCTCTGCCTACACCCTCTGTCGTCTTTGCCGATGAGTAGGGATATCTACCGATTCAAATTTAATGACGTGGAATAAGTGATACCTGTATCTTATATTCCATAATAAACATATGTATTTAATTTTTTATACTGTAAAGCTACTAATATAATATTATCAATATTGTAACTAACACAATAATAACCATTACTTACGATTGTCTGCTTTAATAAATTGAATATAATTATTGTTATAACGCGTACGTGGATTTTCGTACTTTGAATAAGAAAAGACTTCTGCGCATCATAATGCAAACAATTGTATGGAAATAAGAAGAACTTTGGGCGGAAGTTTCGCTTTTAACTTCCAGGCTTATGTTTTCCTTCAAGCGGTATTAACCACTAGTTCATTTGGAACTTAACCTTTGTTTACTATTGCGAGTCAGTTGCGTACAAAATGTCAAATCCGTGCAGTAATAAATGAGATAAATGTATTATATTATTTGAAATCACCGTTGCGAATAGGATTCGTAAAGTACTACACAATAATGTTGTGAATTTAACCAGGGCCCGATTTACAGGTCTGGAGGCCTCGAGGCAACAAAGAAGTGGAGGCCCCATATTATTTTCCAAATGAAATGAAAAATAAATTTCAGTCGAGTTTTTCAATCAATAATTTGCGAAACTAAGTAGATACTTTTAGTATTTAACAAACATAAAAATATATCAAAAGAAAAGTTGTTTACTAGTGTTTACTAGTCGGAATTTAAAACTTTTTTTTTCCGAAGTCTCTATTGTGGAGGCCCCGGGGCTGTGCCCCGGTTGCCCTCCCCTAAATCCGGCTCTGAATTTAATAGATCTGTTTAAACATTACTAAAGTTATTTTATACAATAACCTATGCGTTTGACTTGACGTGACATGTAGTTAACATACAATATATAAATACAGATATATATTTAGCAGTGGGCTTGCGAGTGTCCATGGGCGGCGGTATCACTTAACATCAGGTCAGCCACTTGAGGGTTTACTCCAGTTATATAAAAAAAATATTAATCTTTTCATCTTCTCATCATTGAACTTTTCACTGAAGTCCTCTTTACGCTGTGCTCAAAAGTGACAGAATACTTTAGTTAAAACTACACTGATTTATTATTTATAAACAGTCACTATTTATTTATTACTTAAATATATGTTTATTTATTTATCAAGACAAATCACAAATACAAGATAAATAATAATTTATAAAAATAAATAATAATTAATAAAAATAATTAATAATTAATAAATTATAATTAATTAATAAGTTATAATAATGGAAGTGTCCTTAAATGTTTTCACGGATAAGATATATATGTAAAGTATGAGTAACACAACTAAAATAAAAAGAAATACAATAGCACGAAAATGTAATCACACCAATTTATTTTACATGAAGACATTAAAAGCAATGAAAGCAGAAGCATTACACACTCTATATATGGGCTCGAAACCCGATGTTGGAATAGAGAGTTGGAAATAATTAGCCTGTCTCTCTTATAGTAATGGAATATTTGAAATCGGTTTCGATTTTATTATTAAAAAAAAATGTTTACACTTTATTACCTTATTCAAAAACATACATATAAAAAAATAAAATTAAAAAGCAGGTTACGTAAGTTATAAGGCAACGGGCGGCCTTATCGGTATCAAACGATTTCTTCCAGGCAACAATATATTTCATAACAAAATTCTTTATAATTTTATATATTGTCATCAATTGGGATTACCTTTTCAAATTTCGACATGTAGGGTGTAATTATTGTTGTACATTATGTATGTACGTTTCTGAATTGGTTACGCTTGATGAATAGATAAATTGTCTTAAACCGTGCGCATAATGGATAAGCGAGCGTTTGAATCAGTATTTATTTATTTACACTTATTGTCTTATACAAAAACATACATATAAAAAACAATTAAAAAGCAGGTTATTATGTAACAAGGCAACTTATGTTATAAGGCAACGGGCAGCCTTATCGCTAACAAGCGATTTCTTCCAGGAAACCCTAATATGGAACAATAAAAAAGAAACACCTAAAAAGGGTAAAGTACAAGTGCATAAAGAATTACCAAAACAAAAACTCATAATAACACGTAACTATAACTAAAATAAATTAAAGAAAAAATAAAAATATGTATAAACAAAAATTTAAATTCTATAACGATTACAAATATTCCTTGTTTTATGTGCATTGTCATTATTAAGCCTTTATTGCTAACACCGAGTGTAATGTATAAACATTGTTTTAGTTACATAACCTAACTTAATCTAATACATCAGATGTGCCGGTTTTGGTGATCAGCCTGTCCTGTGATACATAGACTGCTCTTCTATTTTTTTCTAATGTTAGCTCTTTTCCAAGTTGTGTCTCCTATTCTCTTTATATCCTCAGCCCATCTCTTGCTCTGTCTTCCAAATGATCATAAAACCGATACAGACATTTGAGGCCCAGACTTAAAAAGGTTGTAGTGCTGGTTTATTTTTATTTTTTTTAAAGACGTTTCATATTTTAATGTTAAATTATTTAGTGTATTTGTTACTGTAAAAGCTCGAACTGCAGTAAATCCTAAGATATTCCAGTAAAACCTAAGATCTACCAATTCCTAATGGTAAATGTCCCAAAAGGTTTGCGATTCGAACTCTTACCACCATTCCGTTGGTAAATCTTAGGATTTACATTTATGGCACGGTAAATGTTGAAAAACAAAACATAGACTAGCATATGTAAGCATTATTTTTGTATTTCGTTGTTAAATTCCAAATAGAGAACTACTGATTAAGTTAGATAGATATAATAGAGATTGAGATATTCAGAGATATACGTTATGTGTTTTTTTTTAAATAATTTAAATAAGTTGGTATTAGTTTGTACTTATTACTATCATATGATACCTGAATAATACTATGTACTTGTTTTGTCTTATAGTTTATTTAGGTAAATAATTAAGAATTACTCATTGTTTTATTCCTAAAACCAACATCTACCAGCTGACAGTAGTAAAACCTTGCATATACTGAATTCGAATGGTAAAACTTCGAAAAAATCGTCGTATTTTCAGAAATACTTACATTTACCAACTCGGTACGGTAAATCCTAAGACTTACACTTAAATCTTAAGATTAACCGTAGTTCGAGCTTTTACAGTAACATATTATTATTGTTATATAAACAACTAACTAACAGAAGAGTCTAGTGGCTTATGTGTACGTGAGTCTTTGAGGTCGTAGGTTCAAACCTCAGCTGTGTACCTATGGACTTTTCTGTCTGCATGTAAACTCGCTCCTACAGTGAGGAAAAGTAGTGAGGAAACCTAATGCCCAAAAAGTACTTGCCTATTAAAAAAAACTAAACTTATACAGAAATCTGAAGCCAAGACCAAGGTTTATCGCGCTACTGGGTTTTACAATTAACATATTTTAAACATAAAATAATTTCACTCTTGTTTGTTACAGGGAAAAACGGTTATCCGACCGATAGCGTTCAAGCCGTTGGGCGGGCGGCTCTCTGCGGGCGGGGAGCGATATGGGTCTACTCCAGTGTTGGCAAGTCGTCCACCGTCACTTATGACTCTATATGGTAGTAAGTAATTTACTTATTTTATTTAAGAAAGTTTTATAACAATTAATAAGACATTTTTCAGACCGCTATCTGATTATAAGAAGGGATATATTACATTTTGTAATTTTTGGTCTCGTAATTTTATCTATGTGAACTTATTAATTACATATAATAATAATAAAATCCTTTTATTTCATACTTTAATTATTTACATACATAATTTATTAGATATGTACTTTACATTTAAACACATTTATATTTCTATCGTCAGGCACAGAAGGCTGATCACCTACTTGCCTATTACATTAACATATGATCATGAAACAGATACAGAAATCTGAGGCGCTGACCTAAAAAGTTTGTAGAGCCATTGTTTTTTTTTATAAGTTTTATTTTATTAATAGCATTTGCGTTTAGGTTCCTCAGACGTCCGAGAAGCTCGTTGGTGTGGGTCACCACAGCCAGCATCGCTGTCCGCCTTGCCACCTCCTCCGCTCTCCGCACCACTTCATCAAAGGCATCACTCCGCTATAGTGTAAGTTATTTATTTATTTAAATTTCACCAGCATCAAACAAGTGATTTAAGCAGTGTAATAATTAAGTTAATTATCCATGGATATGTGGTTCTTATTTTTATTTAAATTATTTAAAACTGGATGACCAAGCGAACTTTTACCGCCTAACAGTCAATGAATGTCGTGTTACAGGTTTGCTGAACTTTATGATTTTATGGAATTAATACAATGAAAAAATAAATATTAAGTTCACTACTATCACCAAATTGCAATACTCAACATTACAATGTGTTATAGTATATTTAAGGAACTTAATATATTTTTCTTAATTTACACAAAATAAAATTCTTAACGCATGCAAAAATATTTGAAAACCAATATAATATGTCTTTTGACTGACTGACATTATTCTACATTAAAAAAATATAAGGTACGACATTATTTGAATATTGTATATAAGCCTTGTCGATTCGAAACCGTTTTTTTTAATACGTTCTTTAAATTGAGAGTTTACCGGATAAACATTAAATGCTTGACAGTTACGGAAGCAGTTCTTTTATTTTACTTTTTCGGTAATTTTCTAAAGATTTGTATAATAATAATAAGATCCTTTATTGCTGTAAAATACTTATCCTAGTACATAAAAATGTGAAGTATTATAAACACTAAACAATTAATCGACAAGCCGGTTAAATTCTGTTTTACACCTTGTCCTTGGACATAGGCCTCCACTAAGAGCGTCCACTCTTCTCGGTGTCTAGCTTTACGTAGCCACATAGGGCCAGCTGCTTAACTTATATCACCTTCCCATATTTTTATTTGTCGTCCTCGTTTTCTTTTGTCATAGCGGGCCATTCCTATAGAACTACAAATTAAAACCATAAAAATCCACCCAGCCGTTCTCGACTTATTGTGTTCTAACAACAACTCTTTGTTGAAACACCTCCAATAAAAAAGAACTATCCTAGGCATTATTTTGCCGTTTTAATTCAAGACTAATTAATCCAAATCAAAACTAATTTATTTCAGCCAACCATAATGAAGTCAATATCATTAACTCAATATTAAAGCCTCGGATTCATTACAACCATGCACCGCATAATATTTTTACCAGTAATTGCTGGTACTATTTACTATAATTAATGATATCGCTGATGTAGTTGAGTAGACAAGAGCTTAGCCGTGTACCATCGAGCTGGTTAGATTAATGATTAGTGACGGATAATTAATGGTTAATTACCTGAGCGCAAATCTTATTTCTTATTCGTGAGGGCGATTCAAGTTGATAACGACAACGTTGTTAGAGGGGCGTTAAATTTATTTTTTAATAATAATAAAACGTTTATCTAATATATAAAATTCTGTACAATGTTCGTTCCCATACTCCTCCGAAACGTCTCGACCGATTTTTATGAAATTTTAATGCATATTCAGTAAGTCTGAGAATCGGACAACATCTATTTTTCATCAATGTTAAGGGTGGTCCCACCCCTAAAGTTTTATTTTGTTAGGCAAACCTTTTGTTTTTTTTATGATACAAAAATACATACAACCCTTAATGGTCACCCCTCTACCATCCTCCCCTATTTATTTATAGTAGATAGTTTTATTGAACCTAAAAAAATTCCTAGAAATAATACGTATATACATGGCAAAACGACGTTTGCCGGGTCAGCTAGTATAACTATAAAAAAAACATTCATAATAATAAAACTTTAAAACAAATTTAAAAAGTTTGGTCCCTGTGGCAGTGTAACTTCATTTCTGGCAGCATTTCCTCGCTGTATTGCGATACTTATTTATTCAGCGAGGAAAGCACCGGCCCCAGCCTCGGTATCTATCAGAAATTTGTATAGTAAATATTTCTTTACAAGTTACATTAAGTTACGTCAACTTTTTAACGAGACTTGGTTATGAAACGGTTAAATTTAAACCCGCTCTGCTTAACATCGTAACCGCAGTTACCAAGAATTTGCACTAAAAAATGCGACAAACAATTATCGAATGAACTTACCGTAAAGACATTCTGAGGTTCTTATGTCAATGCTAATCTAACGATCATATCATTCATATCAAATATTACAGGAATAACAGAATGGAAACTAGTTAAGTGGACTTTGAACCTGGTTTTCAACTTTATATACTAAGAAACAAAACTTGATACCATGGCGTCGCGTAGAGATGTGGGGTCTCTGCATCTTCTACCGCATTTAGCGTGTAGAGTTCAGAGCTGTTCGGATTAAAACTTCAGCTTAGTTTCATCATCGGACGTCGAGGCAGAATACGATATACCACCCGTATCACCTCGACGTCCGTCGTTCCACAACTGAGCGTTTATTAACAGGCAGCCGCGCACCACCACTATGTGGAACCCACTGAAGTATTTCTGAACCAATCAAGAAAAGGGCGTAACAATTCAAAGGCCGGCAATGCACTCGAGAGCTCCTGATAATGTGAGTGTTCATGAGCGGCGGTATCACTTATCGTCTGGTGAGCCTCCTGCCCGTTTGTGTTAATTTAAAAAAAATACACAGAGATATAATGATGAGTTACTCTGCAACTTATTTACTCTGCAACTTCTAGTTCTCTGAACATCCGTAGCGCTGATGCAACCTTGAAACCGCGCAATCATTATCCCTGTTGCAAGCTAATTGTGCTGCGACACGCTAGCGTAATGCTATCTTACTACTAATTAGTACAATGCTATTCGACAAATTTAAAAAAAAACGTATTACATTTATAAGTGGCTATAGACTGTGGAATCTACACAATTTTTTTTAAATTCTGTTAAATAATTGCTTTAGAAATTCAAATTAAACATTCATAATTTCAAGAACCCGCCAAAACACTTTTCTAAGCAATATGGCGTCGTCGGTCGTACGCCAATGTATGTCACACACAAACGTCAATTTTTAACGTAAAAGTTAAATTACACAAATACACCTGTATCATTCTAGAGTCTCCAAGATAGTATTAGGATTAAATACAAAGACATATTATTGTACCAATCGAATAATCTGTAACCATTTGTCTCACGTGACTGATATAAATTAATTAATTATGGAGTTATTAACATTTGCTCGAACGGTGAAGGAACGGAGGAGGAAACCGACATGTCTTAGACCCAAAAAGCCGACGGCGTGTGTCAGGCGCTGGAGGCTGAACACCTGAACTTGCCTATTAGATTTTAAAATGATCATAAAACAGATTCAGAACAGATTATTATTACTTGTTTTTAAAGCCATATTTTATATACATCTCATTAACACTTTATTTGTCCTACTGTCAAATAACCTACTATATTTTCACTGATCGAGCAACATAACTGCGCACAGAACAATAATATTTTAACCGAGGTATAAACACACGACTTCGGGGTTGAATATCGCACCGTCAACTTATCAATACTACTGGATTAAATTGCATTAATTATTATATTATTGCAAAAATTAGGAATTATCATACGCGATAAATAAATGTTTTACATAAAATTTATAAACAGTTTTTGTACATGTTTGTTTTATAAATTTCCTTATTACATTGTTTTTAAACAATTGAACATCACAATAGGATTAATGCTCTGCTATGAATCATCTGAATTATTATTCTTATTATAGAATCAAGGTGGCAATATGTAAGGATAAAGCCCTTACATATTATAAAACGCGACTTGCGTTTGCCTGTTTAAATGCGAGAAACACAAAAATTACCGAACGAAGTTTTGTACAGTTTATACTAAGAGATAGTGTGATTCTTAAGGCAGGTTTGGGGATTTTCAATATGAAATATACAGATACCGGCATACATCTTGAACAAATGTCCTTACCTGCGCAGAAGTGATTTTTGCGCGGTGCGCGGCGGCGGGAAAGTGACGTGTCGATCGCTTGATTGGTAAATCAGTTGACGTTTGTGTCTTGCGCTGCGCAAACTTTCCCTCACTCCCTTGTTTAATGCTCAAAAAGTTTGCCGGTATCTATAACGATGACAGTTGAAGAGAAAAGATCTTGCGCAAACACACAAAACACGCGGGCGAAAATGCCAGGGGGAAAATAGCATATAATCGTAAAAGTAACAGTTAAAAACGTCGTTTAACTCTTTATTTTGTAACTTTAAATCCATTATGTAATATAATCCAAAAATAATAATAGGTATAAATAATTGTACAATTTGATTAAATATTAGTTTTTAATCGGTAAAGTTACTTTTTAACTTTAAAACAACTTAACTTAGAAATCAAAACCTTATATTACTTTAAAACCAAATAAAATTGAGCTAATATCGTTGAAAATAAATTATAAAAAATAGCCGACATTACAAATCCCAAATCGAACAATTATTGTAATGAGAACTTCATATAATTGTTATCTAGAATATCATATAAAATACTCTATAGTACGTCTGACGCATCAGAAATTATTCAATACATGAAAATATGGACCTACTGAAGCAGTATTGGCCTAGACTCTAAAGGCTTGAAATCTTGAGGTCGTAGGTTAAAACTCAGCTGTGCACCAATGGAATTTTCATTTATTTTATACTCTCTCATGCGGTCAAATATGGTGAGGAAATCGACATGCCTTAGACCCATTAATAGACAGGATTAAAAGGCTAATCAAAAAATCCCCAGGATCAAGGCTAGTACCTCTGAGTTTTTTTTATCATAAATTATTCATAACGTCACTCTTTTATTGACATATAACCTAGAACGTTAGTTAAGATTACTAAATTTCGTAACTGCACACGTATTAGTTGCAAAACTGAATCTTAAACTTAAATTACTGCTATCAAAATCAAGGTAAGTTTTGCAATATTTAACTGCTACATTAACTGGATATTGTGGTTTTACTCATGTCCGACTAATGAACCATCCATACATCTAGAATTTGGAATTTATTTGTGTAATGTAAAAATTGATTATGGAATTAACTATTAAGTTTGTAATGGAAGGTCTGGGCACCCTGACACAGGTATTTTCTACTTAAAAGGGTTCTCAAATCTTACGCATTTTTTTAAATATAAA